GGTGCTAATGGAATTAAGGGGTCTAACAAGATTAGGTCATAGACTACAAAGACTACGGGAAGCGGGACTGTGTCTGTTTTGCCCATCCCTATGTACCCAGAGCTTACCATGGGGCCTGGCACATAGTAGCTCAGTGAATATTTGAAGGAATTAATTAGTGAATCAGTGTTTCTGTGTAAATTTGTTTTTCTCCCTGTCTTCGTATCCTTCTTTGAGTTGTTACAGATTTATGTATGGAAGACCAATTTTTTATGTTGTTCAAACAAGACTCTGTAGAATAGGTAACAGATCAGAGAACTTAGTGTTCTGAGTTCCTGGGAGGGATTTAGGTTTACTGGGATTTTGTTCTTGGAGGGCAGGGGTTGTTTTCAGTTCCAAAAATCCTTGTAATCTTTGTTTTACTCATGTTTGTTGGGCCAATTTTCTTTCCTGAAAAAGAAGTTCCTGTAATACTGTATTAAGGAGAGATGTCCCCTCCCTCTCTGTGTGAATGCTGGGAACTTAGTTCCTTACCAAACTGACATAGTTGCCTGAGACTCATTCAAATAGGTTTTGCTTCTACCACCTCCTGAAAATGAGTTATATTTCTGAATCTGCAAATTTCCAAGATTGCCATAGAAAGAAAATGGTGTTTAAATACATAGTCCTGACTGCTGATGAAATTCATATTTCATGGCACTTTCTTTTCTGTAAGCTAAGGACCTATAGTGTGTGAGAAGCCAAAAGAAGTCTAATAACATCTATAAAGGGAGTATTTTGTACCTTGTAATGTGATTTTTTTTTGTTTTCCTGTACCTTGTCAATTTGATTTTTGTTGTTGAATTTCCTGCTTTTCTTATACTTAATCGTTTGTAGCATGGCAGAACCAAAGATAAAATTTTGCCTTTTTGTGTGGCATAAAATAGCTTTTGGCCAATCTATCCTCAAAAATGAAATAGGAAAATAAAAGATTTAAAGCATTTGAATCACAATTCAGTTATATTTTTCCTCTCAAGTCACTGTACTCCAACCTTTTATCTTTATGTCTTGTCATTGATTGCATCTATAATTCATATACTCTTCTTTAAAAAAATTTTTTTCCCCTACCTTAGTGAAGGAAAAAAATGTACTTTCTTCCCTATTCCCAAATTTTGGATTACCGTAATTCTATTTCCTGTTCTCCTCTCTTTAAAGACTAATGTTTACTCTTCCCTGTTTTCAATAGAGTGCTAACATAGCTTTTTAAGATAAGAAAGAAAAGCTTTCTAGTTTTTCTTTTCTTTAACCCAGTATTGAATGTTTGTTCTTTTTATTGCATTTCAGTTTCATGTCCTGGTCATGTTCACTTCATATTGTAAAGGTTTGGGATAGCCCTCATCCATCTGAGACTTGTGGCAGAAATCTTAAAAGGAGAAATTATCCCCATTTGCAGGCACATGTGAATTCTGATAGCCAGTTTAAATCTTAAAGTTAAAATATCTTTCATTGACTATAATGAATTAATACTATAATTAATAATAA